GTATTTTAGGATAATTATAGAATTAGTCCCTGAGCTTCAACTATAAATACCTAGTTCATTTAGCTTCAAAATTATCCCAAAATCATTTCTTTCTCCTAATACTAGAGAGCTTTCTTGTGAGTAGTGAATGTTTTGTAAACACCTGTAAATTTTCTCTCTAGTAAAAGATCTGCAGCAGTCCAGAGACGTAGGTATAATTGGCTGAACTCCGTTATCAATTTCGGGTATTATTTTTCCGCTTTTATTTCTCATTCTCACTAATCTGGTTATAAGGAAATTACTCGTATTCGGTTTATTTTCCAACAACTGGTATCAGAGCTTTTGGTTGTAATTTTCAATTTTTTGAGGTTACTATTTATTACTATTCATGTGAATAGTAAATTTTGTGAATAGTAAAATTTTGTCGGCGATACGAATTTGTCGACAGAGGTGTTCTAATACACGGTGGTTCGCAAGAATTGTCAGAAACGATCCAAACGAAGCCAGATTCGAGTGGAGCGATGGCTGCAGACGAAGAGAATGTGAAAATTGAAAAGTTCGATAGTGTAGACTTTGGCTTTTGGAAGATGCAGATTGAAGATTTTCTGTACCAGAAAAATCTATATCAACCTCTCTCAGGAAGCAACCAGAGGGCATGAAGAATGAAAACTGGGTCTTCTCGACAGACAAGCCCTCGGAGTTATCCGACTGACGTTATCCCACAATGTTGCTTTCAACATAGTAAAGGAAAAAACCACGGCAGGTCTTATGGCGGTTCTCTCCAGTATGCATAAGAAGCTATCGATCTTAAACAAAGTTCATTTGATGAGGCGGTTATTCAATTTGTGGATGGGGCATCAGTGACTCAATACCTAAATGAACTCTACACAATCAGAACCAGTTGAGTTCAGTAGAAATTGAATTCGATGATGAAGTTTGAGCTTTAATTCTCTTATCATCTCTACCAGAAAGTTGGAATGCTAATGTTACAGCAGTCAGCAGCTCGTCGGAAAATAACAAATTAAAATTCGACGATGTACGGATCTGGTATTGAGTGAAGAAATTCGACAGAGAGAATCAGGTGAAGCATCAACCTCCTCAGCCTTGCACACGGAGTCAGAGGGAGAACTTCATAAAGAAATTCAAATCGTGGCAGATCCAAATCCAGAATGGGAAAATCAAGAACAGGAAAAATATTTTACCTGTTATAATTGTGGCAAGAAGGGTCACTTTAAAATAGACTGCCGAACACTAAATAAAGATACCGACGCACAGGAATCTGTCAACATGACAGAGGAGACAAGTGATGCATGATTCTAAGCGTCAACAGTCCGATTGAATCATGGATCTTGGATTCAGGGGCATCTTTCCACTACTCCCCATGCCGAGAAATCATGGAGAACTATGTCAGTGGTGATTTTGGGAAGGTTCATCTAGCTGATGATGAAACCTTAAAGATCGTCAGAAAAGGAGAAATCTGATTAAAGATGTCAAACCAGACCACCTGGACACTGAAAGGAGTGAGACATATTCATGGCCTCAAAAGAAATTTGATTTCTGAAGGAAAGCTTGATAGAGAAGGTTATAGTACAACTTTTTCAGACTGTGAATGAAAGATTACCAAAGGAGCACTCGTCATTGCTCGTGGTAAGAAGACTGGTACTCTTTATGTAACCTCAAATTTAGAGAATATCATTGCAGTAGCAGATGCTGATGGAAAATCAAACCTATGGCACCAAAGGCTTGTCCATATGAGCGAGAAAGGGATGAAGACATTTTTGTCAAAAGGGAAGCTGTCGGATCTAAAGAATGTAGATGTTAGACTATGTGAAGATTGCATCTTTGGCAAACAAAAGAAAGTGAGTTTTGCAAAGATTGGCAAGACACCCAAGGCATAAAAGTTATAGTTGGTTCATACTGATGTATGGGAACCATCTCCAGTTTTATCTCTTGCAGGCTCATTATATTATGTCACCTTCATCGATGATTCAACAAGGAAGGTGTGGGTTTATTTTCTGAAGAAGAAATCAGAAGTCTTTGATACCTTCAGAAAATGGAAAGCCATGGTGGAAAATGAGTCTGGTTTGAAAGTCAAGCGGTTGAGGTATGATAATAGAGGAGAGTACAAAAATAGAAGATTCAGAGATTTCTGTGCAAACAATGGGATAAAGATGGAGACAACAGTTCCCATGACACCACAGCAGAATGGCGTAGTAGAGAGCATTAACAAAACTCTGAATGAACGTGACAGAAGCATGAGGATACATGCCGGACTGCCCAAATTTCTATGGGCTAAAGCTATCAATACTGCAGCTTACCTGATCAACCGTGGGCCCTCAGTTCCTTTGGATGAAAGAATACCAGAGGAAGTTTGGAGCAAGAAAGAAATAAATCTTTCACACTTAAGAGTGTTTGGTTGTATTTCTTATGTACGCATAGATTCTACTGGGTAAACTTGACTATGAAAATCGGAAGATCATCATAAACATAGATTTCATTTTCAATGAGCATGTGATGTACAAAGACAAGTCAACCATGGAATCAAGTAGCTCCAACACCGAAGCTGAAACAAAGGAATTTGTTGAGTTTGAAGAGATTTCTGGAAATGATGTTCAGATCACTCCTGAAGCAGTTCAAGAAGAACCAGTCACACCAGAACTGAGACGCTCCTCCAAAATTCCTAAACTAACCCAACGGTATTCTCCTTCTTTGCACTACTTGTTGCTGACTGACAATGGTGAACCAGAGTGCTATGATGAAGCAATGCAAGTGGAGGATTCAGTCAAGTGGGAGTCTTCCATGAAAGATGAGATGGACTCGCTTATGTCAAATCAGACGTGAGAATTAGCTGAATTACCACCAGGTAAGAAAGCGCTCTACAACAAGTGGATTTACAGGATCAAGGAAGAGCACGATGGGAGCAAACGCTACAAAGCGAGATTGGTTGTCAAAGGTTTTCAGCAAAAAGAAGGTATTGACTGCAATAAAATTTTCTCTCCAGTCATGAAACTGTCTACAATCATACTGGTGTTGAAAATTGTAGCTGTAGAAAATCTATATCTTGAGCAGTTAGATGTAAAGACAGCTTTCCTTCATGGTGATTTGGAGGAAGAAATATATATGAGATAGCCAGAAGGCTTCATAGATGCAGGCAAGAAAAACCTGGTATGCAGGTTGAAAAAGAGGTTGTATGGTTTAAAACAAGCTCCTAGACAATGGTACAAGAAGTTTGATAGTTTCATGAGTAGCAGTGGTTTTACTATATGTCAAGCAGATCATTGTTACTACATTAAAAGGTTCGACAACAGCTTCATTATTTTATTATTGTACGTTGATGACATGCTCGTTGCAGGCTCAAACATGCAAGATTATACACTTGAAGCAAGAATTGTCGAAGCAGTTTGCTATGAAGGATCTGGGCGCTGCAAAGCAGATTCTTGGAATGAGGATTAAGAGAGACACAAAGTTGGGGACTTTGATGTTATCACAGGCTGAGTACATCAACAAAGTACTCTCCAGGTTCAACATGCAAGATGCTAAACCAGTAAGTACACCTTTAGGTGTTCATTTTAGACTCACCAAAGAACAGTCACCAAAGACGGAGGAAGAACGTGCACACATGGTGAAGGTGTCGTATGCCTCAGCAATTGGAAGTCTAATGTATGCCATGGTTTGTACCAGACCAGATATTGCTCATGCAGTGGGAGCTGTTAGCAGGCACATGAATAATCCAGGCAAAATACACTGGGAAGTTGTCAAATGGATCCTCAGATATCTGCGAGGTACTACAAACAAAGCATTTTATTTCAAAGGTGGAGATACGATACTGACAGGCTATGTAGATGCTGATTTAGCCGGAAATGTTGACATCAGAAGGAGCACTACAGGGTATGTCTATACTCTAGAAAGAACTGCAGTGAGTTGGGTTTCTCAACTACAGAAGATAGTTGCTCTCTCCACAACTGAAGCAGAATATGTCGCTGTTACGGAAGCCAGCAAAGAGATGGTTTGGCTCCAAAGTTTCTTGGAAGAGTTAGGCAAGAAACAAGAAAACAATGTCTTGTATTGCGATAGTCAAAGTGCTATCCATCTAGCAAAGAATCCGTCTTTTCATTCCAAGATATCCAAAAATTCAAATATCTGATTTTTTGGATATGATACGAATCACTATTTAAATATCTGAAAATTTAAGATATCTAAATTTTCGGATCGAATCGAATTCGATATCCGAATTTACACATCCCTACTTGAACGTCCTTTCCAGAAAGAAAATCATATAGATAATATAATAAAAGTTAGTTAATTACTAACTGTAGATTGATCTCATATGATAAGATATTTTGTACTCAAATAATGTTTAGAGTCTGAATTTTAATCTTATAAATAAAATAAATTTAATTTAAAAGACGTATTTGCAATATTAATTTAAATTAATCATCCATTAATTATATATTATAACTATACACAATATAAGCAATTATAAATGTTTTTTCTTTTGGATGGTTTATAATTGCGCATATAGAGAACTTGATAAGACGTCGGATGTCATAATTAATTGTTCAAAATAAATTTATATAAAACAATATGAATGGAATTACATCCAATAATTCTTTCATAGAATAATTTTCTAATTATTATTCAGACTTTTGTAATATATATAATTAAAAAAGTTAACTTTATGCACGATCTAATTTATCTAAGTGGTTACACGAATCATTGTTATATTTATAGGTCATGGTTTCGAGCATTAGCAATTGTAACACGGAGATTGTTTATTGTCAAAAGGTTGAGAGTATTCAGAACAGATGTTACTTTGTAATTATATTAACTTAATAAAAAATTAAATTTATTTTTGTTAATATATTATTTCGATTATTTCTTTTATCAATTATATATATAATTATGTTACACTGGTTTATCAATTATATCAAAAGTTCTCATTTTCATTTATGTGATCTAGAAAGAAAACAGAGGAGCCCTCCACAAAAGGGTGCCTCATTATTTGTAAAAACAAAACATGCTTCAATGATTATTTGAAGAGCATGAACAAGTCTAATCACATTTAATCATTCGTTCAAGATTCTTTTGCCAAGCGTAAATGTACAAGTTCATGATTTGAGCATATAAGAAACTGTCAAGATTTGCTTACTGGGTTTCCTGTATGAAGAATGGGTTCGAAAGTAGCGAGGTGCTATAAAGAAGGAAGGAGCCAGAGGTTGAAGAGAGTCGAAGCAAAGGATAAGAACCAGGACAAGAATGCCATGGCCGCCGAAAACTGAAACCGGCTACATAACTTGGACGGGCAATACGATGTGCCGGCAGTCGCCAAGAGGCTTGTAACGCTAGCGGTCGAGCAGGCCGCGGCCAGCGAGAGAAACGACAAGGCCTGCAATGAGATTAAACACCATTTTCCCATCAGAAAAGAGATAACAACATCATAGCGACGATTAAGCAAATAAAAGGGTTTGCTATATACCCAGTCTCCAACGATGACGATCAGCAGTACCCTCGGTTGTCGTGGTAAGCATTTGATAAACACGGAATATGCATCGACCAATGCCAACGACAAGCTCCATGGCGCTACCAAGCCCATGACCGTCACCAGGTAGCTGCAAAAGTTTAAAGAAAAAAGAGGAAAGTAAGTAAATCCTCCTCGATTATGCCAACAGGGATGGACCGAGAGGACTGTCGAATCAAATATATTAGGATCCTTACTGAAGTCATAGTTAAGCGACAGAGCATATGATCTTTGCTAAATCCCAGAACCCCAAAGATCAAATAAAAGAATTGCATACAGTTCATTTGACTTTGCTTGCTTCAAAATTCTAAAGGAAAAATAAATGCTTGATCGTGATAGTTTTCCCCAGAGACTTCCAGTTCAAAACCAGATATCAATTATCAACTCAACAAACTAAATTCCGACACAAAAGCAGGAACAAAGACGACAATATTGAGCCAGGAAAATACAAGAATCGGTGCTTTGGGAATCACCTGAAAGAAGTATAGCTAAAGAATTCGACCCCCAAACACATGAAAAGAAGTGAAGCAGAGGAGAAAACGATTTGTCCCAACCGAAGAGCCAAGCTAGCGCTAGTTCCCAACGCCCCCGGCACTTGCTCCATCACAATCATCTTTCATCTCTCTGCTTTTTCATCTTTAATTCCCCCAACAATAAATCCAAAACAGGTTAAAGAAAAGAACAACACTTGGTCTCCAAAATTCCCGAGAATTATGTTCACAGAAAAGGTTCTGGCTTTGGGTTTGTTTCCTATGATGAAGAAATTGGAAGAGAGGCGTTAGCTGAAAACAGCAATATATTATTCCACATACTTTCATTCATGTCTTATTCTTTGTACTGTTATCTTTCTTCTCTCTTTTTTAGATATCAAAGTCAAATGTAAATGTTAAAAACAAAGAAAAATGAATAATTTAGTTTGACAAGTTGATTTGAGTTGAATAATTAGAACCACAGAAAATGGGTTAGCAGGCCAGACACCCCGAACCCTACAAAAAGTGTGTTCAAGAGAGAACCAATTCCCTTCAATAGGCTTTAATTCATAAATTTATTCAAATAAATAATAGGTTGCTCGACCTGCCATTCATGTTGGAACAGCTAAAACAAGGAACCGAACCTGTCCATTTCATGTTTACTTCCCAATGTTCTTTTAATGTTTTAAATATTGTTTATCAACAACCTCCTCCCACTTTCCTTCTCTGTCTCTGCCTCTGCCTGCAACCTTCATCTTTTTTTTTTCTTCAAACTTTCCAGGCTAGAAACCTAAATGTGTGTAACCTATTTTTACGAGACAACTCAAATTATATGTGCACAGGCCACATCTCAAATTATATGAGCGTTCAGTTTATTTAAATTTTAATTGATAAAAATTATATTTTATTATAATTTTAATGGTTAAAAATTATTTAGGGATTAATTTTATTTAGGTAAGAATTATTATGGAATAGATGATTACAAAATAGTATCTGTTATAAATAATCTCAACCATTTAAGAATGAATGCTCAATCACTCCTGCTATAGTCGTTAGTGCTCTAACCCGTTACCTCTAAGAATAACTATCTATTAACTTAAAAAATAATAGGTTTGTTTTTTAGATTTTAGAATAAATTATACATTTAGTACCTAAACTATCAGTTTTAGTTCGTTTTAGTACTTAAACTTTCAATTTTTAAAAACCATACCTTAAGTTTAGTTTTCGTTTCATTTTGGTATCCCATTCAAAATTTAACGTTATGGTTTGAAAAATTGAAAGTTTAGGTACTAAAACGGACCAAAATTGATAATTTAGGTATTAAACGTGTTAAGTTTTTAACAGTGTGGTACTAAAATGAAACAAAAACTAAACGTTAGGTATGAGTTTAAAAAAATTAAAAATTTAAGTACTAAAACTGACCAAAACTGATAGTTTAGGCACTAAGTGCTTAGTTTACCCTAGATTTTAGAGGAATGTTGAAAAATTTTATGGGATGCCTCATATAAAGTTACTTATTAAATCTTGTTTCTTATATGTAATCTATTTTAAGTTAATCTCGAATTGTTTTCTTTACTTACAAATACCTGATAATTTCGATTGGATCAAAGCTATTTTTTAGCATTGCCGTCCGAGAGATCAAACTCTGAACCCCCTTAATCTATTTCCATCTCTACAAGAAATGTGGACCACTAGACATCTGGGTTGACATTGTTGCCTTCGGAGTTCGAATCCACACAAAATGCAACAATATAAATATTTAATCAGTTGATCATTTGGTATATCAAACTCCGTATAATTTTTACTAGGGAAAACATGTTGAACATGATAAAACCATTATTAGAAGAAGACAGTATACAAAAGATAATAAGCTCAGAGTGCTTCTCATGGTATTACAGGAAATTCTAGCAAACATGAGGCCTCAAATTATACAAAGAATGAGCACATTCATCATCACTCTATGAGTCAAGCTGAGCATACCAGATACCAGTGATCTTCACATCCTTGGGAGTCTTGGCTCCCAAGTCAGTGTCCGATGGCTGAAGGCTCTCAAACACACCGATCACTTCACCCGTCTCCGGCTTGCTTTTCGTAACACTCAATGTGATTTTCCCTGATGAACTAGCCGCACTCTTGTTGTTCTCCTTAGCTAGCTCTTCCTCATCTCCTCTCCCTCCGGCAGGCAACGCGACCGCATTGTCGTATCCGGTTGAACCGCCCCTTCCTTTCGGGTCCAAGAAAGACGATCCACGGTAGGACGGTACGAGGAAGTCTCCACTGAAGCTCTCGGGTTTTCCTGATGCAACAAGTTGCTTGATGGTGAAAAGGAATGGCACACGTTCCCCACCAGGGAGCTGAACTGTAACAGCAGCGTAATCGATCCCATCTTTCTCCTCGAATTTGACAGTTCCATCGGTGGACACTTCGAAAGGACCCTCGATTTCGTCGAGGGTGTAGGTTAAACGGGTCATCAGCTTGGTGTTCTGGAACTCAGGAGGGGCATTCTTGCTAACACCCTCAGCTTTGACAGTGAAAGAAGTGGGTTCTAAGCAAAATTTCTTGGCATAATATTTGCCTGGTTTGAAGGCGAATGAGTCGACGCCACCGTCGATGGTGGGGCACTGGTTAGCAGTTCCAGTTCCCTTCACTTCCATGTATGTTTTGCTTTGTATTTCATCATAGGTTAGCCTCTTTGGAACTCCTTCAGCACTTGCTCCCTTTAAAAACAAGGCTTCTAAATATCACTACAGTAATAATTAACAATAACTTATATTTAGCAGATTCAAGTGTAAGTATCCTATATGAGCACAATTTTGTTTAGGCTTTTCGTATATAGAATCTTTGTAGTTTGTAAAATAACAACGTCCCATGTAGTCATGTCTATGAATGTGTCATAACATAAATATTGAATATGAATATGAATATTTCAACAACAAAAAAAAAACTGCAGAGCTCTATAACAAGTTCACTTTTCTCTAAGGTCCTAAACAAGCTAGGAAAAATTTGATAATCATAAGGGCAGATTGAACAAACAAGGAATTAAATGGAAAACCAAAACCAAATGAAAGGAAAAAGCAGTATACCGAGACAACAAGAGCAGAAGTAGCAAGAGCGAAACCAGCAATCTTGGTAGCATCAACACACTTTTGAGCCAAGTCTTTAAAGTCAGTTTGCAACGAGCAAGTCAGCCTAGAACCAACAGGCTCCAAACCAAAGGCCTTAGAAACGGCGTGGGAGGACCTGAGCTGCTGCACGCCAGTCCTAGAGGGCACACCGACCTTGGTCAGTTGCATGAGGGTTGCTGCTGTTTGCAGTGAGGCTGCCATGGTTCAACTTTTTTTTTTTTGGCAAAAAGAAAATTAACCCTTTTTCTGTATTAGTGGGAATTATTTCGATGGAAGATAAGGGGATAGGAGGTGGATATTTTCTGTGTTTGTGTGGAGAAACTGATATATGTGGCAATTATTTTGGTGTAAGATATTGGGATAGGATAAGGGAAGATCCTATTGGCGGAATGAAAGTAGTGGCTCTGGTTTTAAAGGTGGTGTGGGTTCATCATGTGGAGGAAGTCGTCATTCGTAGAGCTTTGGGGGCCATGGTTGTTCTTACTCACTGTGTAATGGTTCAGGGCAAAATCCAAATCACACTCATCACTTGAATGTTGTTAAGTTCATTGACATAAAAAATAGTTATCTTTTATATAATTTTAAGCTGATTTTTACTAGGGTAAACTATGTAATTAGTCATCCACCTATTTATACAGTTCCGTTTTAGTTACTTAACTATTTTTCTCCTTCAAAATCATATATAACATTATATTTTGATTATGTTTTAATCACTTACTATTAAAAAATTAATGATGATATGAATGTCGCGAACGTCAGTGTTTTCCAGTGAACTCAACAATGATGGATTGGCTGGAAAGAGTTGGGAGGGGAAGCTCGAGAGGGGTACCATATAGGTTTCTTGTCAAGGAAGAATTGAGGCCAAGGTTGAACTATGAGCCAGATGGGCGGTTGATTGGGAGTGGACCGATAATAGAGGATGTCGAGTTTGAAGATGAGAACCAAATATATATATATATATATATATATATATATATATTAATTTAAACTGCAATTTAAGATATATATATTATTTGTATTAAATATATTATTAAAATTAAAGTTATCTTAGTGGTCATGTTTATAAAATGAAAAAGTTCAAGAGCCCATCCAAGAAAGCAATAGAAGAGGTCTCTTCTGGTTCCACGTGTTTGTGACTAAAGCAAATCGACGGTTTGGGGAATTCACATGGAGTTTTGATTATTTTGATAATCTGATTCTTCAATTCTATTTGATCAAAGATGATTAGAAGGTTAGAAATTTGGTGAGCATCCCATTTTTGATGCATAGTACTTGTATAACGAGAGTTGTTCAAGTGTAGGACACGATTCTTACATGGTAAAATGCTTGTCGAAAACGGAAAGACATGTCGAACATAATTAAAAACGTTATCAGAAGAAGCCAATATACAAAAGATAACAATCCCATTTTTTCTTCTCATTGGATTACATGAAATTTTAGCAACATGAGGCCTCAAATTACAAACAACAAACGCACATTCATAATCACTCTACGAGTCAAGCTGAGCATACCAGATACCAGTGATCTTCACATCCTTGGGAGTCTTGGCTCCCAAGTCAGTGTCCGATGGCTGAAGGCTCTCAAACACACCGATCACTTCACCCGTCTCCGGCTTGCTTTTCGTAACACTCAATGTGATTTTCCCTGATGAACTAGCCGCACTCTTGTTGTTCTCCTTAGCTAGCTCTTCCTCATCTCCTCTCCCTCCGGCAGGCAACGCGACCGCATTGTCGTATCCGGTTGAGCCGCCCCTTCCTTTCGGGTCCAAGAAAGACGATCCACGGTAGGACGGTACAAGGAAGTCTCCACTGAAGCTCTCGGGTTTGCCTGATGCAACAAGTTGCTTGATGGTGAAAAGGAATGGCACACGTTCCCCACCAGGGAGCTGAACTGTAACAGCAGCGTAATCGATCCCATCTTTCTCCTCGAATTTGACAGTTCCATCGGTGGACACTTCGAAAGGACCCTCGATTTCGTCGAGGGTGTAGGTTAAACGGGTCATCAGCTTGGTGTTCTGGAACTCAGGAGGGGCATTCTTGCTAACACCCTCAGCTTTGACAGTGAAAGAAGTTGGCTCTAAGCAAAATTTCTTGGCGTAGTATTTGCCTGGTTTGAAGGCGAATGAGTCGATACCACCGTCGATGGTCGGGCATTGGTTAGCGGTTCCAGTTCCCTTCACTTCCATATATGTTTTGCTTTGGATTTCATCATAGGTTAGCCTC